TACGATTGCATATCATTCTCTTGTGTGGCTTTTCCTTGAAGTACAGATCTGGAAATCCAGGCTCTGAGAGGCCACATAACCTGCGTAGTGGGTAACACTGCAGCAGGTGGAAATGGTTCCTCTGTGACGTCGAAGCTCTGAATCTTATAACTTGTTCTTGTTAATCTAAGCTAAACATGATCGGCCTGGGGATTACTGGGTCCCAGAACATTGAGGCTGAGAGAGAATGTAATTGTCACTTAAACACAATGCAGGGGCCAGGAATCCCTGAGCAGTGGGGCCCCCTCTTTTGCGTGGACACCCTCCGTAATGGGAAGTTCATTGCTTCACAAGAGAGGCCCATCCCCAGCTGGGAGAGACGTGGGGTGAGAAGTCTCCCAGAAAGGGCAGGACTTCAGGTGTGCTCAGTAAACATTGTTCTGAATGAATGCAAACCCAAGGGGATGGTCATTCCACTGCATGCTATTTCCACTCTCTCCCCTGATTCTGCCTTCTGTAATAAAGTTAACAGTGGGGCGGCTGGGTGGCTCAGTCAGTTGAGGTTCCAACTTTAGCTTAGGTCATGATCTCATGGTTTGTGGGTTTGAGCCCCATGTGGGGCTCTGTGCTGACAGCTCAGAGCCTGGGTCCTGCTCCAGATTCTGTGTCTCCCTCTCTTTCTGCCCCTCTCCTACTTGTACTCTATCTCTCTCTCTCAAAAAGTAAATAAAGATCCTTTTTAAAAATTAAAAAAAAAATAGGTGTGTGTGTGCGTGCTTGTGTCTGAGTGTGTACTGGGTGTATGAGTGTAATGTGAATGTGGAGCGGTTTGAGTGTGCATCACGTGTGTGCTGTGTGCACCTGTAAAATTAGGCTCCTTTGTTACACAGCAGTAGATAAATAGTACACCCGCTAAGAATCCACACACTTTCTATTTTGAGAAGTCAGTAAATTCTGCTGTGTGGGCAGTTAGGGTATTGTAGTGACTGCTCTCCGAGCCATTCGTATATTTATAAACACTGTTGTTGTTGTGTGGCATATTCACCCATAGAGCTGGCATCTTCCTGCCCAATGTGGAATTTTTAAAATGAAATCTGACCTATATTTTATTTTATTTTTTTTAGTAGGAGGGAAGGGGAGAGAGAGAGAGAGAGAGAGAGAGAGAATCCCAAGAAGGCTCCTCACTGTCAGCTCAAAGCCCGATGTGGGGCTCAGACTCACAAACCATGAGATCATGACCTGAGCCAAAATTGAGAGTTGGAAGCTTAACTGACTGAGCCACCCAGGTGCCCCTATATTGTTCCTTTAATGTCTGTAGGATCTATGGTGAAAGCTTTTTTCATTCCTGATATTTTATTTTGGTTTAGTTTTTTAAAGTTTATATTTTAAAGAGAGAGGAAGGGAGGGAGAAAGGGAGAGAGAGAGAGGGAGAGAACCAACGAGCAGGGCAGGGGCAGAAAGAGAGGAGGGAGAGAATCTCAAACAGGAATTGGGCTCATGACCAGGCACTAGCTCCCGGGTGGCTCAGTCAGTTAAGCATCCAGCTATTGATTTCAGCTCAGGTCACGGTCTCACAGTTCGCGAGATAGAGTCCCATGTTGGGCTCCATGCCGTCGGTGCAGAGCCTGCTTGAGATTCTCTCTCTGCCCCTGCCCTGCTCACACTCTCCTTCTCTGTAGCTCCATCCCTGTTGTCACAAATGGCAGGATTCTTTTTATGGCTCAGTAATATTCCACTGTATATGTTCACCACCTCCTCTTTCTCCACTCGTCTCTCAGTGGACACCAGTGCTGCTTCCAGATCCTGACTGTTGTCAGTAATGCTGCAGTAGACATAGGGGCGCATGTATCCTTTTGAATTAGTGTTTTCATTTTTGGGGGGGGCGGTAAATACCCAATAGTGGAATTATTTGATCAGATGGTATTTTTAATTTTTTGAGGAATCTTTATACTGTAAGACTGGTATTTTAAGTTTTTTTTTTAATGTTTATTTATTTTTGAGAGAAAGAAAGAGACAGAGCATGAGCAGGGGAGGGGCAAAGAGAGAGAGAGAGGGAGACATAGAATCCAAAGGAGGCTCCAAGCTCCAAGCTGTCAGCACAGAGCCTGACGCGAGGCTCTAACTCACGAACTGTGAGATCATGACCAAGGTCGAAGTTGGATGCTTAACCGACTGAGCCACCCAGGTGCCCCTATATTGTTCCTTTAATATCTGTAGGACCTATGGTGAAAGCCTTTTTCATTCCTGATATTTTATTTTTATTTTAGTTTTTTTAAATGTTTGTTTATTTTTGAGGGAGGGAGCGCACAAGCAGGGAGAGGCAGAAAGAGAGAGGGAGACACAGAATCTGAAGCAGGCTCCAGGCCCTGAGCTGTCAGCACAGAGCCCAATGTGGGGCTTGAACCCATGAACTATGAGATCATGACCTGAGCAGGTACCCACCCCTAAGTTGTGTTTTTTTTTTGTTTTTTTTGTTTTTTTTTGAGAGAGAGAGAGAGAGAGAGAGCAAGTGAGGGAGGGGCAGAGACAGAGGGTAGAGAGAATCCTAAGCAGGTTCCATGCTGCCAGCACAGAGCCCAATGAGGGGCTTGAACTCACAGACTATGCTGCTTAACCGCCTGAGCCCCCCAGGTGCCCCTAAAACTGGTCTTTTAAATGTGAGCTCATCTTCCTCCTTGATTAACTGGGTATTTGGTTATAACGAATCACATGGTCTTCAAAAGGAACAGGCACCTTTCCACCTACAAGCTGTGTTTGCAATTAACTGATCAGCTCTAGCTTATTAGTTAATCCTGAACAGTAGGATTGAGGGCGCCTCTTCCGAGGGGAAAACAGCATTTTATGTGATAATCTCCATGCATCAAATATTTTTTTTGTCTAAATATTAATTCCCCAGGAAAGCACTGTCCCAGCCGTTCCGCCAGCCAAGGCCAGAGGTGGAGAGCCACCAAGTTCAGGCTCCTGGCTCGGTGCAGTTGTGTGTGACTGTCCCGCCTCCGGAGTGGCAGGGGCCAGCACTGGCCGCGGCGGAGACCTCTTGCGGAGCGCATGAAAGGAGCCTGGTGTTTGGGGTGCAGTAGGCTTGAATGATGGTGTGTGTGCCGCTCTTGCTCTCCCCTGCTCCTTACTCTGTAGCGCCCTCCCAGAGTCAGGGATCAGGGAAGGTCAGGAATTATTGACCCTGGTAACCACACGCAGGAGTCAGATGTCTTTGCTGGCTCCGCGGCATTTGAAGGATTGAGAGGAGCGTAGGACCAGGACGCAGGCGAGCTGTCCCTGGGTTTCGTGTGATAATGAATTAAGTGCAGAGTGGCTTTCTTTGCTGGCCCTCTCTCCAGCTCTTACTGGAAGCACTTTGACTTTAACATTGAGTGGTGGGATGCTGACCTTGGCTGGCTCAGGTGCGCACCCTGGGGGCTCTCCCATTAGGGAGATGGGTTTTCAGCACATTTTGTGAGCCAGGCCTTTCGAGCTGGGCTCAGCAGCTTGAAGTTCCATGTTGCAGGATTTATAGAGGTTGTGCTCTCAAATCTGCCATGTTTTCATTGGGTAAATGGGATTCTACATCTTCAGAAATGGCTCCCTGCACGGCACCTGGGCCCGAGCTGAGACGCAGAGTTAAGGTCACGTTAATCTCTTCCGCTCTTATTCTTGGGGGCTGGCCTGGCGTGACCCCACTGGCTACAGCGAGGTCGGGCTCTGAACTACAGCCATGGTGGTCTGGCCATCGAGGCGTCTGGGGAGCTGAAGGAAGAGGGGCTTTGAAAGGAGACCCAGGTGTCTGCTTAGAGAGACCCTCTTAGCTTCCCTCCTCCCTCTCGCTCACTCTCCCCCGCCCCAAGATCATGTCAGCTGCCGCCCAGGGACAACCTGCTGGTTCCCCGAAGACCTGCTCTGCTCACTGTAAGCGATGACCTCCTGTCCTTGGCAGACTCTTCCAGCTCGCTTGTTATTACCCCATTACACATGGTGGCAAACTGAGGCTTGGAGAACGTGAGGACACCTTCCAAAGTACACACTTCTTGAGCATTCTGGATGAGGAACATGACTTCAGATGAGAGCCTCTCATCCGCTTCCGCCTCTGCATCATGGGGCACGAACCTTTATCACAAAATTCTCCTTGGAGAAAATCAGGCAACTTACATAAAATACTTTATGCGCATCAAGAATACAGTGGGTGCTCCATAAAAGCCACTTTCTCTCCCTTCATGCGAATCACTGGTGTCTGGATGACTTCATATCCTCAGAAAATTCGGCCTGCCTTGAGTCTCCCCATGGGAAACCAGGACTTGGGCTATTTTAATTGTGTTCCCTCCGTCTTCCCCACCCAGCGCTCTTGTGTTTGGCTCTACCATCTCCTCGCTTGGAAAATTAACATTCTGTCAAGTCGGGTTCAGCATCTGCTTGGCGACGGCGCCCGCTCTCTCTGCCTCCCGTGCTTGGTAGACAGCGCATCTGTCCTTGCCGCCCCAGGCGCCTCAGCACGTAGAGATGGGATTTCTACCAACAACGATAAAGTCGTTTTCAGTTACTGTTATTAATCATTACGCATGTCAGGACGTGTGCAGCGTGCTCTGTGTGGTAGACTCATTTAATCTGTCCATCGGCTGTGAGCTTCGTGCCGTTATCAGGGCTCACGTTACAGATGAGGAGTTCAGGGACACAGGCAGAGAGCGGAAGAGCTGGGATTGTATCTCCATTGGCCGTGAGCCACGTGCTCGTCACTGAGATGCTGTTGCCTCCATGGCACCGACAGATAACCAAGGGCGGTAGACTAGCCCACTTTAGGGTTAGGGTAACTGGGTTCAAGTCTTCAAGTCTTCCAGGTGTGAGCTGAGTGACATTAAGGGTGTCTTCCTCTCTCGGTGTCTTTTCCCATAAAAGGACATCTGGGCGATGACATCCAGTGGGTACGCTGTGCTCCCCATGGGTCAGATGCTCGGGTTCCCCTTGCGGAAGCCCAGGCTCTCTGTGTTTGGCTGACGTGATCTCAAGCTGTTAATTTCTCTCTTGTTTTTCAGGTAATGCACCAAAAAGATCATGTCTGAAGTACAAGGAACGGTTGAGTTTTCTGTAGAGCTACATAAATTTTATAATGTGGATCTCTTTCAGAGAGGGTAAGTATGCATCACTGTTTCTATGTGTGTGTGTGTGTGTGTGTGTGCGCGCGTGCACGCCCGCGCATTATACAGTTGACCCTTGAACCACACGCGTTTGAACTGTGCAGGTCCACAGTACATGGGTTTTTAAATGCGGTAGAGTCCTGTGAAAGCCATTTCTCTATCATTTTCTTAATAACATTTTTTTCTTCTAGCTTACTTTAGTGCAAGAATATAGTGTATCATACATATAACATACAGAATATGTGTATTTGGCTATGTTATCAGTTATCAGTAAGGCTTCTGGTCAACAGTAGGCAATTAGTAGTTACGTTTTTGGAAAGTCAGAAGTCCTACATGATTCTTGACTGTGTGGAGGTGGGTGGGTGTCCAGGATCCCACTGTTGTTCAGGGTCATGTGTGTGTGTTTAATTTTTTTTTAAACATTTATTCATTTTTGAGAGACAGAGAAAGACAGAGTACGAATGGAGCAGGGGCAGAGACACCAAATCTGAAGCAGGCTCCAGGCTCCGAGCTGTCAGCCTGGAGCCCAACACAGGTTTTGAACTCATAGACCATGAGATCATGACCTGAGCTGAAGTCGGACACTTAACTGACTGAGCGCCCAGGGCCCTGTGTGTGTGTGTGTGTGTGTGTGTGTGTGTGTGTGTGTGTATTCTTCCTGGCAGGAAACAGAGGTGATGAGGACAGGTTGTAGGGCATTTAGATTCATGAGGAAAGGATTTTTATTATTTTTCCTGTCAAGTGTAAAATCCAAATGTTGAGTGCGGTTGAACATCACCCATTTATTGACGAGACCTGAGAGTGCGAATGTCTCCCTCCCTCCTGCACTTCCCTCTGTCTTCCGTCTTCTGAGTTTCTCTTTCCATTGCATACACTAGTCAGTTTGAGTGGAAAGTGAATTTATGGGAAACGAAGCTTGCTCAGATAATAAAGGTGTCTGTATGACCAGCATGTCTCTGGGCTGTCTCCCCCAGATTGCATATCATAAAACCTGTGCCGCCATCTCTCAAAAACTGAAAGTATATGTTGCCCTCTTTAAATACAGGATGAGAATGTAGTTGCTTGCAGTGTTTGAGGATGTACTCTGATTTTGGTGTTTTACACATATGACCTCATTAGGTCATCACAATAGATTTACCTCTTAGGTCACTGTAAATACTAATGAGGTGGAATGCTTACGTAAAACATCCAGACCCAGACCAGGACTGGATACTCACAGTGACAGCTACTACTTTCCCTGGGTTGCAGACAAGGAAGCCTAAGTTCATAGAAACCAAGTTTGTGATATGTTCAAGTTAACAGAGCCAATCAGCAGGCATCTATGTTGTGGAAAACCACTCCGAGCTTTGGAGCCAAAATATAACTCGAAGAGAGTTTGGGATAAAGAGGAACAATAGCTTTATTGCTTTGCTGGGCAAAGGAGGCTGAGGCAGGCTACGGCCCTCACAAAACCACAGGTCTTCCCGGAAGATGGGGCTGGGGCGTTTTATAGGGAGATACAGGATCTAGCCGGTTTCAGTGGGAATGAAGTATGTGCTGCCAGCCTCTGTAGCCCATGGTCTTTTTCAGGGTTGGTACCAAGTTCCTGAAACCAAAGAAGGGAGGAGGGGAGGCTTGCGGAAGAGAGGAAAAGGTTACTTTAGAAATCAACCTTTGCTGAAGCATGAGTGCAGCCATTTTGATTTTTGGTCAACTTTGTGCTTTTCAGCGGTTCCCTCTAATGGTTTGTTTTTGCTGTGTAACCAACCACCTTCAACCTTAGTGGCTTAAAACAACAGCTTTCAAGTTAGCTCCTGACTCCGAGGGAGGGCAAGCGATTTGAGCCGGGTTCCGGTTGGGAAGGTTCTACCAAGTGGGAGGAGGTTGTAGGGCATTTTGGATTAACGAGGAAAGGATTTTCGTTATTTGTCTTGCCAAGTGGAAAATCCAAATGCTGAGGCAATAGGCAAGCCAGGCTTGTCTACCTGGCAAGTGAGTCCTCCGAGCAGGCGTGAGAAGACACACAGCCTCCTGCCAGCTCCTCAGCCCTGCTCAGGGTGGTTTCCATGGCCTTCTGGAGGCTAAAGCCAAGTGCAAGAACAGTCTGGATTTAGGGTGGAGAAATAGAGACGGTCTCTTGATGGAAGTGGATGGAACTGTGCACACTCTGATGATCTTGTCACCCCAGGTTAGTGCCCAGGTTCAAAAGGAGACTGAAATTGTTATGGTTCCTTCTTGCATGAGGTGAAATTGGGTGGCCGAGCCATGTCGGCAGGTGACCTGAATCAGATGGTGAGTGGAAAAAGGAATGATTGTGGGACCAGCTATGTTCCGGGGACAGGGGTGCGTAGGGCTTCTGGAGCTGGATTTGGAGGAAACAAAGCTCCGTGCATCAGCTCACCACCATCGGCCTGCCCCATCACCTGATCAGAGGTTGTATGGTGAAACAAGAAGAGTCTGGGCTTGGGGCTAGATCTCCTGGGCCCTGGCTTAGTTACTGCTTCTTGGAGCTCCTATGGTACCTCTTTCTGCTCTGCTTTTCAGATTCTACATTTACAAGAAAGGAAGCATTTTGACAATGTCATGTGTCTATCATAGCGTCAGACACTTCTATTTATCATCTCCTGAATCCTCATAACCAACCAGAGGATGAATGATACTATCTTTTTTTGACCGACAGGTAGCGGAGCAGGACACAGCTCTAACCTAGCAGAGTGGGGGATCTGGGGCCGAATTGCTTGTTTTCTGATAACTAAGCCTGGTCTCCAAAGTGGGCTGCCCTCTCCCCGGGGCTGCACAAAACAGCCATCAAGATGTGGGGAGAAAATACTAAAACTTCTGCTTATGATTGTTTTAACCAAAAATAAGAGAGCACTCAAGCTTCATCAATGATTAGAATCCAGACTGCCACGGAAAGTTCAGTGTGTCCACACGGCACAGTCATGAATCCCGCTTAGTAACTCCAGCATCAAATAAAAGAAGGTTGTCCCCCAGCCACCTAGGAGCTGAAGACATCACCCTCACAGTGCAAAATACTGCAGTTTGTGACTGGGCAGTTCCCCACACCTCTAAATTGTTCTCTACCTTTACCTGCACCAACCCTCACAGAATAGCAAGTGGCTTCAAAACAAATACTGCAAGGCAGTCATGAATTGAAGGTAGTATGAAAGATGAAAGCATAGCAAGCAGCAGGAGTGACAGAATCACGCTGGTCGTTTCTTGCACAAGCCTGTTTGCACACACGGAGGAGGGATGACAGGCTGATCAGATTCCAAAATAAGTAGACTGAGAAATTTGAACTTATTTAAAACAATGATTTGATACATGGGTTTGTCACCATAATTATTCACAATGCACCTTGTGCTGATTGCACTCTGGGCCTTCCGGTATTGATGGGGTCTTGTATGAAATAATCTCCATTAGCAAGACATTTCAAGGGAAGCATCCAGAACCCGAAGAGGGCCCCGTGCAGTTGGTTAAGGGGGTTTCAGGACAAGTGTGGAAACCATGAGTCACTCAGCAAGCCTAAGACCCTCTAGATCCTTGTGTTTTGGGGAGACATTTTGGGTAGCCCCACGCTCACCACCAAAGTGTAATATTTAATTAGGCTGAATTAAAACCAGAACGTAGAATCACTGTAATATGTATAGTTTTAGTAAGAGCAAAAAGGTCATGTGTTCCTTTAATATGAGAGGTAATTAATTTTTAAAACATGGATTATTACATCACTTTCTCATCTTTTCAAAGACCTTTCTCTGTCCTTATAATGCACACCGCATAGGAGTATACAACTGTACGTGTATGTCATTGTAAATAAATACACATATGGTGGGGTTGCATGCTTGAAGACGTTTTTACTGTATGAAATCACTGGCACTTGGTGACCACTGTCTAGTGGGACAAGGGCTCTCACAGATGTCTTCCGGCTCCTCGTGCTGGCACTGTGTGGTATTGAGGCGTTGATGTGGATGAGGGCATTATCTGGGGACTGGACATGCTTCAGGGTCGGCCTCCTAGCAGCTATGGCCATGGACAGGCTGGGACATCATTTGGATGAAGGCAGTCAGACCTCTTACAGGGATGGAGTGGGTGCTAAGATCTCTAGGGCCCCATCAGCAATGAGACCTTGAAGGTGAGTCCCCAGTCCCCTGAGCCCAGGCTGCAGGGAGTCACGGACAGGCTAGACGTGGTGCCAGCCAGGATTCTGGACCTGCCAGAGGGGCCCCTGACAAGTGTGGTCCGTGGTATGTAATCGCTAAGGATTTCCCCACTCTGAATCCTGCAGGGGCCGTGCTCACCGTGAGATGTAGTTACTTTACCAGCAAACACTCGATGGCCGCGACTGAAGCCGAGTGGGCAAGGTGCCCCCCACATGAAAGAAAGTGGAGGATTTCCACAGGCCATTCAAGAAGAGGAAGGCAGCATTTGAGGAGGCTGGCCGGTTTTGGGGCTGTGAGGATGTGCCTCACGATTTCCTAGGAGGTAGAAATTAGAGTTGGGGGTTGCAGAAGAAGGAGCATGCCCTTCCTCAGACTGAATTTGACTCTGGCCATTCAAGTTCTGGCCGTTTCTCCAGTGGGTGAGAAATGCCCCTTGTACCTCCATCCCGATGTCCCAGAGCATCACTGCCCCTTGTGAGAGGCTGTATCAGAATGACATAGATGCAGAGCTGAGAATATCGTTCGAGATTTTGCCCTGATCGGGAATTGCTTGCTTCTAGCACGTTAACTTTTGTGGATAGTTTTTCTAGTCCCAGCATGCATGTTGCCTTTGGGTGGTGTTTGCTTTGAGCAAACAGTCAGCTTGCATTTATCCCAGGTCTGCATTGACTGAAGAAAATTCTCAACGGAAAAGCGTCTCCTGAAACCGGTCAACAAACATTGTGAATTGTCAGCCTGTGCTTGACAGCAAGACGCATCCTGACAAAAAGGCAGGGAAGCACTGGGGAGCCTGGTGTGGGGGTCAGACCTGAACGTGAAGCCACTTGTAAGCTCTGAGAGCATGAAAATTTCCCT